ATTGAAATCACACCAAGCATTTTCTCGGATCACAAGGGACTGAAGCTAGAAACCAATCCCAAGGAAAAAAACCCAAAACACTCAAAAGCATGGAGATTAAATAGCATGCTATTAAAAAATGAATGGGTCAAGAATATTAGGTAAGAAATCAAAAGGTTTCTGGAAACAAATGAAAATGAACTCACAACAACCCCAAAATTATGGGACACAGCCAAGGCAGTCCTGAGAGGGAAGTTCATAGCGATACAGGCCCACCTAAAAAAGTTACAAACATTTCAAACAAACAACCTAACCCTACATCTACAAGAACTCGAGGAATAACAACAAAGACAGCCCAGAGCAAGCAGAAGGAAGGAAATAACCAAGATTAGAGCAGAATTAAATGACATAGAGACTAAAAGCACAATTCTAAGGATCAATGAATCCAAGAGCTGGTTCTTTGAAAAGATAAACAAAAATGACAAGCCTTTAAGCAGGCTCATCAAGAAAAAAAGAGAAAGGATCCAAATAAACACAATCAGAAATTAAAGAGGAGAGATTACAACTGACACCACAGAAACACAAAGGATTGGAAGAAACTACTACGAAGAACTGTATGCCAAGAAATTTGAAGACCTAAATGAAATGGACAAATTTCTAGAAAAATATAATCTTCCAAATCTCAATGGAAAAGAAACAGAAAGCCTGAACAAATCAATAACAGCAAAAGAAATTGAAGCAGTAATCAAAAAACTCCCAACACACAAAAGCCCTGGACCAGATGGTTTCACAGGAGAATTCTACAAAGCATTTAAGGAAGAGCTAACCCCTATCCTTCAGAGACTATTTCAAAAAAATCCATAAAGATGGAAGACTCCCAAACTCTTTTTAAGAGGCCAACATCATCCTAATTCCAAAACCAGATAAAGACCCAAAAAAGAAAGAAAACTTCAGGACAATATCACTGATGAATATTGATGCTAAAATCCTCAACAAAACACTGGCAAATGGCATCCAACAGTACATTAAAATGATCATACACCATGACCAAGTGGGATTCATTCCAGGGATGCAAGGATGGTTCAATATTCGCAAATCAGTAAATGTAATACATCACATAAACAAAAGCAAAGAGAAAAGCCACACGATCATATCAATAGATGCAGAAAAAGTATTTGATAAGGTACAGCACCCATTTATGATAAAAACACTCAGCAAAGTGGGAATAGGGGGAGCATTCCTCAACATAATAAAGGCCATATATGAGAGACCTACAGCCAACATCATACTCAATGTGCAAAAATTAAAATCTTCTTCACTAAGATCAGGAACAAAACAAGGATGTCCACTTTTACCAGTTCTATTCAATATAGTACTGGAAGTTTTAGCCACAGTGATCAGACAACAAAAAGAAATAAAAGGCATCCAAACTGGAAAGGAGGAAACAAAACTGTCACTGTTTGCAGATGACATGATAGTGTACATAGAAAATCCTATAGAAAAAATCCATAGAAATCCACCAAAAAACTGTTGACCTAATAAATGAATTTAGCAAAACACCAGGATACAAAGTCAATATCCAGAAATCAAAGGCATTTCTGTACACCAGCAATGAAACAGCAGAAGCAGAAATCAAGAAAAAACATTCCATTTGAAATAGCACAAAGGAAAATAAAATACCTAGGAATAAACCTAACCAAAGAGGTAAAAGACCTGTATTCAGAAAACTACATAATACTCAGGAAAGAAATCAAGGAAGACACAAACAAATGGAAACATACACCGTGTTCATGGATTGGAAGAATTAATATCATCAAAATGTCCATACTACCAAAAGCAATTTACACATTTAATGCAATACCTATTAAAGTACCAATGGCTTATTTCACACACATAGAACAAACATTTCAAAAATGTATATGGAACCATACATGACTCTGAATGGCTGCTGCAATTTTGAGAAAGAAGAGTAAAGTAGGAGGATCACAATACCTGACACTAAACTATACTACAAGGCCACTGTAATCAAAACAGCCTGGTACTGGCATAAAAACAGGCACATGGATCAATGGAACAGAACAGAGAGCCCAGAAATAAACCCAAGTCTCTATGGTCAATTAATATTTGACAAAGGAAACAGCAACATAAAATGGAATAAAAATAGCCTCTCCAACAAATGGTGTTGGGAGAACTGGACAGGTACGTGCAAAATAATGAAACTTGAGCACCAACTTACACCTTATAAAAAATAAATTCAAGGTGGATAACAGACTTAAATATAAACTGTGACACCATTAAAGTCCTAGAAGAGAACGTAGGTAGGAAAATCTCAGATATTTCACGCGGAAACTTTTTTACTGACATGTCTCCTAGACCAAGGGACATAAAGGAAAGAATAAACAAATGGGACCTCATCAAAATAAAAAGCTTTTGCACAGCTAAAGAAAACAGTATCAAAACAAAAAGAGAACCAACTGTATGGGAAAACATATTTGCCAATGATACCTCAGACAAGGGTTTAATCTCCAAAATATATAAAGAACTTACATGACTCCACTCTAAGAAGACAAGTAACCCAACTGAAAAATGGGCAAAGGACTTGAACAGACACTTCTCCAAGGAGGACATACAGAAGATCCAAAGACACATGAAACAATGTTCAATATTGCTAGCTATCAGAGAGATGCAAATTAAAACCACAATGAGATACCACTTCACACCAGTCAGAATGGCCATCATAAACAAAGCAACAAACAACAAGTGTTGGAGAGGTTATGGAGAAAATAGGACCCTAGTGCACTATTGGTGGGACTGCAGACTGGTACAACCACTATGGAAAGCAGTATGGAACTTTCTCAGAAAACTGAAAATGGATCTGCCTTTTCACCCTGCAATTCCACTGCTGGGACTATATCCTAAGAACACTAAAACACCAATACAAAAAAACCTTTGCATCCCGATGTTCATGGCAGTACAATTTACAATAGCTAGGTGCTGGAAGCAACCTAGATGCCCATCAGTAAATGAATGGATCAAAAAACTATGGTACATTTACACAATGGAATTCTATGCAGCAGAAAGAAAGAAGAAGCTCCTACCCTTTGCAACAGCATGGATGGAGCTGGAAAGCATTATGCTAAGCGAAACAAGCCAGGCAGTGAAAGACAAATACCATATGATCTCACCTTTAACAGGAACCTAAACAACAAAACAAAGAAACAAGCAAAATATAACCAAAGACACTGAAATAGGGGACAGACTGACAGTGACCAGAGGGGAGAGAAGAGGGAATTTCAGGGGAGAATGGGAAGGGTTTACAGGAACAAATTTAAAGGACACATGGACAAAAGCTAGGGGGAGGGTGGTAGTGGGAGGGAAGTGGGGAGGGTTCGGTGGGTGGGCTGGAATGGGAGTAAAAGAGAGAAAACTGTACTTGAACAATGATTAAAATAAAAAAAAAGACTTATGTGAAGACGATGAAGACCTAAGTAGATGAGTCAAGTTCAAGGATTGGAAGGCTCTAGCATAAAAATGTGAATTTTCTCCCAGATGACCTTATAGATTCAGTGATATTCCAACTGAATTCATAAAAGTTTTTGTGGGAATTAAGAAGCTTATTCTAAAACTTGTATGAAAGACCAAGGCTTCAAATAGACAATCTTTAAGAACTTGGCAGATAGACTTACCCTAAGAGATAATGACTTGTATAAAATTAGAGTAATTTAGACTGTGATATCTAAATTACATACAGCACAATGACAGATAGAAGGCCTAACTCACAGGTGGCAAACACAAGGCCCACGGGCTGAATCTGGCCCTTCACCTTGTTTTATCTGGCCCGGCACCTTGTTTCTACCTGGTGGGAACCCCAAGCTCCTTGCCCCTAGTTAGGGTAGTTAGATTTATACAGCCCTAAAATTACATTCAGACCTTTGAAGGCAACTGCAAGGCTGATGTGGCCTCTGGTGAAAATGAGTTTGACACACCTGGACTAACTGAACAGATGACAGCCCAAATCAGACCTGTGAATTCATGAACATCTGACAGATGAGAGTGGTTTTGCAGATCAATGAGTAAAACAGATCTTATAAGAAGGTGATGCTGGAAAGAAGTAAAATGCAATTATTTCTCACACAAATTCACAAAAATCTCTTCTACTTAGGTTAAGGACCTAATTGGAAAAAGCAAAGCTATGTTTGAAATATTCAGAAGATAATATTTATTCACAAAAGTATATGCACCCCTACATTCATTGCAGCACTATTCATGGTGGCCAAGTCATGGAAACAACTAAAGTGTCCTTTAATAGAAGATTATGTAAAGAAGATGTGGTACATATATACAATGGAATATTACTCAGCTATTAGATGAAGTACTGCCATTTGTGACAACATGGATGGATCTTGAGAATATTATGCTAAGCAAAATAAGTCAGTCAGAATAAGCTAAGAACCTTATGATTTCACTCACATGTGGGATATAAAACTGAAACTCATAGACACAGACAGCATTGTGGTGGTGACCAGAGGGAAGGGGATTGGAGTAAGGAGTAAAGGGGCAAAATACATGGTGCTGGAAGACGATGACTTTGGGTGGTGGACACACAATGCAATATACAGATTATGTATCATAGAAATGTACCTTGAAACCTATACAATCTTATTAACCCCCAACACATTTAATTAAAATAAGATACATTCTGATTTGTATTTCTTCTGCACCAACTGGGTTTAACTAAGCAGGAAGTGGCAGAATCAGATGAATTTTACTTCTTTCCCATCTCCTCCCAGGGGGAGGCCTAGGTAAAGAATGAGGCAAGAGGACAGGAGGGTTGCTCTGGGAAAGCTGAGGAGTGGGAACAATGTAAAACCCCCACACTGCATCATAAAGTCTAAATTCTATGGTTAAAAAATTATATATATAAAAAACAATAGCTTTAAATATCCTTCCCTTTGAGGTCAGAACTCAATAATGAAAAGTAGGATACAAAAAAAAAGTAGGATACATAAAGGAAGATTAGACACAGTAAAGTTAATTTTTATTCATCAAAAAGTACCAAAAAGAATGGGAAAAGATATTTGCATACATGTAACCAACAAGAATTGGTATCTGGAATACATAAAAAATTCCTATGAACTGAAAAATGGGCAAAATGACTGGCAAAATGCAAATTACAATTTTTGTTCCATTGATTCATGCCTAAAACCCATTAGATTAGCAAGAATTAATAAGCCTGACAAAATTAAGTAGTGCCTAGAATGCAAAGTGAGCTCTCTCACAGTACTGGATGTCCTCAGTCTACTTTGGAAAGTAAGCTGAATGTGCATACCACAAATGATCCAGCACCATCACTCCTGGAGAAACTCTCACATTTTTAAGAGACATGTAAAGTGGCATTTATGACAATCCTGCTTGTGATGGCCAAAACCAAATAAACAACAAAAATCTACAAACTCAAATATCTATAAAAGTAGAATACTGTAGTATACAGTTACATGCTGCTTAATGATGGGATACATTCTGAGAAATGTGTCATTAAGCAATTTCATCCCTGTGTGAACATCATAGAGTACGCTTACACAAACCTAGATGGTATAGCCTACTACACACCTAGGCTATATGGAATAGCCTGTTGCTTTTAGGTTACAGGCCTGTACAGCATGTTACTGTACTGAATACTGTTGGCAATGGTAACATAATGGTTAAGTATGTGTGCATTCAAACATATCTAAACATAGAAAAGGTACACTAAATATACAGTATACAAGTTAAAAAATGGTACACCTGTGTAGGGAGGGCACTTACCATGAATGGAGCTTGCAGGACTAGAGTTGCACTAGGTGAGTAAGTGAGTGAGTGAGTGAGTGATGAGTGAATGTGAAGGTCGAGGCTATTACTGTACACTACTGTATACTACGCTTAGGCTACACTAAATTTATCAAACATAACATTAAATCAAGCACAAGAAAATGATATAATCTAGAGGAAGCAGTAAACATGATTTGTAAGAGGCTGCTGCCAGTGTAATACCACATAATGTTGCACAGCAAACATTTTTTTGTAAGAGTACACTTTAAAATAATGATAGAAAGTATAGTGTAGTAATACATAAACCAGTAACACAGTCATTTACTATTATTATTAAGTACAATAACTGTATGCTGTATGACTGGCAGCATAGGTCTGCTTATACCAGTATCACCACACACATGTGAGTAATGCATTGTGCTACAATTTATGTCTCTCCAGAAGTACATTTATTGATTAATTTTGAGAAAGAAAGGGAGAAGAAGAGACAGAGAGAAACAGATTTTTTTTTGTTCCATTGATTATGCATTCATTGGTTTATTCTTGTACATGCCCTGACTGGGGATCAAACTTGCAACTTTGGCGTGTCATCTGGGATGACACTCTAACCAACTGAGCTACCTGACCAGGACTCTCCAGAGCTATAGTATAAACTCTACTACTCTTTTTTTTTAATCCTCACACAAGGATATGCTTTTATTGATTTTTAAAGAGAGAAATGAGAAACTTCAATTGGTTACCTCCTATATGTGCCCTGAACTAGGACTGAACACACAACCTAGGTATGTGTCCCGACCAGGGATCAAACCTGCAACCTTCTGGTGCACAGGATAATGCTTCAACCAACTGAGCCACATGGCCAGGGCTAAGCTCCACTATTCTTGTTCACTGTGGTACACAGTGTCTAGAACAGTGCTAACTAAACATATAGTTGGGTTTCAATAAACATTCCGGAATAGTTGGTTTAAAGGCAATGGTGTACTCCTTAGTCCTCAAGACAGTAATTCTGATATTTTAACATCACAAGGTGACAGGAATTTGTCAGCTCCATTTTAATCTTATGGGACCACTGTCATATATATGGCCTGTCATTGACTAAAAGGTCATTATGCAGTGCATGACTGTATTCACAGTGGAGTACTAATCAGTAATAAAAACAAATTAATTTTGAGATTAACATGGGTGAACCTCAAAACCTGAAAGTTAAAAATATATACTGAAATAATATGTATACAAATTCACTGGGTAGATATAAATACGCAGTTGGGAAAACTACGAAGAAAAACGTAAAAAATTACCATAAACATCAAGTTGGTGATTATTATGGAGAAAGAGGCTAGGTGATTAAGCAGCAGCACACAGAAGGTGTTTTACTGCTAATGCTCTGTATGTTCATCTGGGTAGCTGGTGTCCTGGTGTTTGCATTATTATTCTTTAAAGTATACAATTATGTGCTATACACATCTCTGTACTTAAGATATTTTACAACAGAATGAAATTAATTTATCACATTTTTACTTAATTTTTGGTAATAAAATACTTTATTGGTACCATTTAATGTAAAAAACATGATAATGTCTCCATGCTTAGCTTCCATCTTTAAAATAAAAGCTAGTTAAAAAAAACAGGAAAGATAAAATCATTTGATTCTGTCACAAAACAAGCTGAAACTTACCTTTGAAAATAATTAGGTTCCCTCACTTTTCACTGGTCTTCATAATACTTATACATAAAAGGAGCCAACAGCCTGAATAACTTTGCACAGACATTTTACACATCTTAAAAAAGCAAGCCTAAGTGCTATCCCAACTTAAAACTTATAAGGGTAATTAGTAAGAGTTATTATAAAATTGAATTCATATAGCACCAAGAAATTTAGAATTCATAATATTTCAGATGATATGATTTACTGAGTCGAAAGAATAATGTGCTCTGTGATTTCTTCTGCAATTTCTCAGAGGTGTATATACAAACAGAGAGAATATAACATAGGTTCCTTTTTAAAAGCCAAAGGTTAAAAGATCTACACATGCCTTTCATCATATCTAATTTCTGGATCTAGCAATTGACCCAATGGTAAAAGATCCACGTGTGATATATAACATAGTATAGTCCTAGCTGAATACAATTTCTTATTCATCTTGTCTTTTAATGTAATTTATACCTCAAAACATCCTACTATCTGCAAGTAATATACATCTCTAAAATATTCTGTGATCCAGATTTCCATTCATACTGCTCTCCTCTCTTCCCCTTTCCTCAAATCAGTGTGATCTTATGTTATATATACCTCATTTTGCTTTTCTCCCTTCAGTGAAACTATAAACTCAAAAGTATTATAATAATGCAAATACAGATGTAGCATATATTCACACATTAGGAAAAAAGCACACTAATACATATGGATCCATGCTAAATGAGACAGTGTAAAGCAGAAACACATAGCACCATGCTATGTTCATCTATTCTGAACCACCCACCACTAGAAGGCCCTTATAAGCCCTGGCTCATGATGTTCCCAGACCACTGGTGTCCTGTGCTCCAACATAATTATGTCTGTTAAAGACATTTCCATGCTGATTGTAGTTTGTTCAAAACAGTCTGCAGAAACTTTGACTTCTAATCCTGAACATGATGACAGAGTAATAACATTGTATTTTAATCAAGTCATAGATTCTAAGTATTTCCTATTATTACCTATTTCTTTAAAAACAGACATTTAGGGGACTAAACAACAAGAAGGGGTTTTTACTTCTGTCTTGACTGGTTGGAGATTTCAGAATTGTCATTTAAGTATCCTCTGCTTCAGTGAAAAAGGATTCTTCAAGCAACCAACCAAAGATCTTGATTGCTTGATTTAAAAACCAAGCAAGTTGACCCAGTGGTTGGCAGGTGAAAAACCTTTGTCCACACAATCCATCTGTAATTCTCCATTCCTGCAGGAACAAGATGCTTCTTACCCATCATCATCACAGATGCAACCAGGACACATAAGAACATGGGCACAGAGCAGAAACTAACTCAAAACTATTTTTGGAGCCAAACACCAAATTTTGATTTATCAATGATTCCATAGTGCAGACTTTGCATTGAAACAGTTGCTTTCTCTGTTCTATGAAGTTAAACTGCTAGAGTAAAGTAATGTCAGAAAGAACACAAAACATAAGCACATCTTCTCTGAAAGAGGCACTCCATCTGGAACTGGAATTAAGGCTAAATAAATAGTGCTGGTTTGAGGTTCAGTGCTGGCTTGTGGTTTGGACTAATGATCACATTAACCAACAACTTCACTATTTGTCCTGTATGCTTGTTTGTGAAGATGTGTCTCTATCTCCTCCCTGAAGACCAGCATTCCCATGTGTGAGTGAGAGGCTTCATTCATAGCTTTGGACTGGATGCACATGCGATACTGCTCGGGGGTCAACTCATCAGCACAGCGTTTCTCATGCCAGAGGTGGAAAAGCCCAGGAACCGGAGTCCGAATCACAATCAGGTCACCATGTAAGTATTTTCGATAAAGATGAACATCTTCTCCACCCCAGCCTTTAACTTCCATGTCAAATCCACCTGTGGGATCAAAATTAACACTCTAAGTAACTTCCTAGAAGCTGGAACATAGTCAAATCTTATAAAGATTTAAACATTCTGCTTCAAATGAGATGTCATGGAATATAGCCCACAAACATCTCATGTTGAGGATTGTATGTCCTGGTTTGGAAGTCCAGTTACCAGATGACATCTAGGAGTTCAGTCTGTTGTTTAGAGTACTGAAATGAAATTAAATATTTGAGACTACTTTGTAGACTTCAAAGTCTATAGAAAATTTTTAGAAAGCCAAGGAGAAAGAAATATAAATCACCCATAATCTAACCACCATTAATATTTTATTATGTTTTCTTTCTCTCCTTTGAGATGTAAGTTTTTCTGGGTTGCATAATACTTACCAGTGGGGAGATAAAAGAAATGTCTAAGCTAGAGATATAAATTTAAGAATGAGCACACGGATGATTTAGATACAAGGAATGGGTGAAATGAATGGTTTATAAAAAAACTGAGTCCAAGTCTAAATGCTAATAAATAGAGGTTAAATAGGCAGAGGAAGATAAGTCTACAAGAGAGACTGAGAAATGGCCCCAGAGGAGGGAGAAAATTCTGAAAAATGTGCTATCACAGTAGTTAAGTGAAGAAAATGTCTTGAAGTGTGCTGCTCAACTAAGAACATAAAAAGGAATCAAGTAGATCTGGTAACACAGATGCCATTTAGAACCTTGTGTAGAACAATTCTGAGAGAATGACATGGCAGAAGGCTAACTACAGAGGGCATATGGAATGGGAGTTGAGTTAAACAAAAAAACTTTTTAATGAAGCACGGAGAACACAAGCCATTTTCAGTTATTTTTTGAAAAGCTCCAAAAGATTCTTAAATACTAAAAACATTACTTTAAATAGTCACGGCTTTACTAAATGCCATGTCTGATATATCTGGGCTTTTTCTCCTTTTAAGTACAAATAAATTCTTCAAATGTCAGGGATGGTGTAGATACTTAAAATAAATGGGGAACCTCAAGTTTCTGGTTCAGCATGTAAAGACCTTAGAGGTCAACACTCTGTCCTAACAACAAATTTTAAAAACTGAACAAATTAAAAAACCAAAAACTTTTCTCAGCACTCAGAGAAATAAGGTCACAGTTTGGGGCAAACTGCCTCCCTGCCCCAAGCTGGAGAGACATGATAGATGGGTAGGATAAAATCACAATTATTAGAAGAGAAATTATGAGTAGAAATCTCCAGGGGAACCAGTGTAAGGGTAGACAAATCTCAGCTGTAATCAATGAATTGCTAGAGGCTCAGGTCCAGGAGGGCCTATTCATAGGAGGGCCCCTACACTTCTATGAGTTTTACTTCTAGGAGCTCTACAAGGTTATAACAGTGAAGATGGGAGAAAAAACCCCTAATGATTTCAGCAGAAGGAAAGGAAAGTAATGGTTCTAAAACACACCAAATTTATTTTATTAATTGTTCTTTAGTTACAGTTGTCCTCATTGTTTCCCCCATTACTCTTGCCCACCCTCCCCTCCCTTATCTTCCACATTCAATCCTCTTCACCCCAGGGTATCTTTGCCCATGTGTCCCTTATACATGTTCCTTGACTCTTCCCCTTCTTTCCCCCAATTGTCCCCCTCCTGCATCCCCTCCAGCCACTGTCAGTTTGTTCTTTGTTTCCATGTCTCTGTTCCTATTTTGAGCACAAGTTTGTTTTGTTGATCAGGTTCCACTTACAAGGTGAGATCATATGGTATTTGTCTTTTCATCACCTGGATAATTTCACTTAGCATAATATTCTCCAATTCTAATCATGTTGCCACAAATGGTGGGAGTTCCTTCTTTCATTCTGCTGTGTAGTATACTATTGTGTAAATGTACCACAGTTTTTTCATCCACACATTTAATGGTGGGCATTTAGGTTACTTCCAATATTGGCTATTGTAAATGGTGTTGCTATGAATATTGGGGTGCATAGGTTCTTTTGGTGTTTCAGGTTTCTTAGAGTATAATCCTAGCAGTGGAATTACTGGGTCAAAAGGGAGCTCCATTTTTAGTTTTTTGAGGAAATTCCATAGAGTTTTCCACAGGGGTTGCATCAATCTGCATTCCCACCAACAGGGTACTAGGATTCCCTTTTCTCCACATCCTCTCCAGCACTTGTTTGTTCATTTGTTCATGATGGCCATTCTGACTGGTGTGTAAGCCTCTTTGTGATTTTAATTTGCATCTCTCTAATTGCTAGTGATACTGAGCATCCTTTCATATGTGTCTGTGTCCTCTGTATGACTTCCTTGGAAATGTGTCTAGTCAGGTCCTTTGCCCATTATTTCCCTGGATATTTGTCTTCCTGTAGTGGAGTCGTGTGAGTTCTTTATATGTTTTAGAGATTGAACCCTTATCTGAGTTATCACTGGCAAATATATTTTTTCATATGGATGTTCCCCTTTTGATTTGACTATTTTCCTTAGGTGTGCAGAAACTCTTCAATTTTATGTAGTCCTATATGTTTATCCTTTCATTTATATCCCTTGCTCTAGGGGACATGTCAGTAAAAATACTGTTGCATGAAATATCTAAAATTTTCTTGCCTATGCTCTCCTCTAGGACTCTTATGAGGTTGCAATTTATAAGTCTTTTATCCATGGTAAATTTAGTTTTGTGTATGGTGTAAGCAGGTGGTTGAATTTTCTTTTTGTGCATGTAGGTGTCCAATTCTCTCAACATCATTTGTTGAAGAGGCTATTATTCCATTTTATGTTCCTGCTACTGTGTCAACTACTAATTGACCATAGAAACTTGAGTTTATTTCTAAGTTCTCTATTCTGTTCCATTGACCTTTGTGCTGCCAGCTGATCTGTTGTTATGCCAGTACCAGACAGTTTTAATTACTGTGGCCTTGTAATATAGTTTGGTATCAGATTTTGTGATCTCTCCTTTGTTCTTTTTTTCTCAAAATTGCTGAGGATATATGGGGTCATTTATGGTTCCACAAGATTTTTGAAATCTTTGCTCTGTATCTGTGAAATATGTCATTGGTGCTTTAATAGGGCTTATGTTGAATCTATAAATTGCTTTGGGTAAAATGAACATTTTGATGATGTTAATTCTTCCAATTCATGAACAAGGTATATGCTTCATTTATGTCATCCTTAGTTTCTTTCCTTAGTATTGTGTAGTTTTCTGAGTACAGGTCTTTTACCACCTTGGTTAGGTTTATTCCTAGGTACTCTATTTTCCTTGTTGCTATATAGCAAATGGGATTTTCCCCTTAATTTTTGTTTCTGATATTTTGTTGTTAGGTTACAGAAAAGCCTTTGAATTCTGGATCTTCACTTTGTATCCCACTGTTTTGCCAAATCCACTTATTAGGTCAAGTAATTTTTTGTTGGAGTCTATAGAGATTTCTATATACACTATCATGTCATCTTCAAACAATGACAGTTTTGCTTCCTCCTTTCTAATTTGGATACCTTTTATTTCTTTTTCTCATCTGATTGCTGGGGCTAGAATTTCCAATGCTACGTTGAATAGCAATGATGAAAGTGGACACCCTTGTCTTGTACCTGATCTTAATGGGAAAGCTTTTAGTTTTTGTCCATTGAGTAAGATGCTGGCTGTAGGTTTCTCATATATGGCCTTTATTGTGTTGAGGTATGCTCCTTCTACTGCCACTTTATTGAGTGTTTATCATAAATAAGTACTGCACCTTATCAAATGCTTTTTCTGCATCTGTTGATATGATTATATGATTTTTGTCTTTCCTTTCATTTATGTGATGTATTACATTTATTGGTTTGAGAATATTGTAACATCCTTGCATCCCTGGGATGAATTCCACTTGATCATGGTATATGATTGTTTTAATGTATTGTGGGATGTGGTTTACCAATATTTTGCTGAGGATTTTAGCATCTATGTTCATCAGCGATATTGGCTTGTAGTTTTCTTTGTTGTGTCTTTATCTGGTTTTGGGATTAGGACAATGCTGGCTTCATAAAGAGAGTTTGGGAGTGTTCTGTCTTCTTGGTATTTTTGGAATAGTCTGTGAAGGATATGGGTTAACTCTTTCTTAAATGCTTTGTAAAATTCTCTTGTGAAACCATCCAGTCCAAGGATTTTGTGTGTTTGGAGTTCTTTGATTACTGCTTCAATTTCACTAACTGTCATCTGTCTGGTCAGGCTTTCTACTTCTTGATTTAGTTTTGGAAGATTATAAGTTTCTAGGAATTGTACACTTCATCTAGGTTTTGGAATTTTTTGGCATATTGTTGTTTGTAGTAATTTCTTACAATCCTCTGTATTTCTGTTGTATCAGTTGCAATTTCTGCTTTTTAATTTCTGACTTTATTTGGGTACTCTGTCTTTTTAAATTTTAATATATTTTATTGATTTTGCTATTACAGGTGTCCAATTTTTTTTCCTCCCTTTATTCCCCTCTGCCTTTTAACCTCCCTGCCACTGTCATTCCCCGACCTTAGTTCATATCCATGGGTCATACATATAAGTTCTTTGGCTTCTCCATTTCCTATACTATTCTTAATCTCCCCATCTATTTTGTCCCTATCCTTTATGCTTCTTATTCCCTGTACCTTTTCCCCCATTGTCCCCACTCCCTGCTGATAATGTTCCATGTGATTTCTATTTCTGTGAATCTGTGCCTGTTCTAGTTGTTTGTTTAGTTTTTTGTTCATTTTTGTTTTTATAGGTTCAGTTGTTGATAGTTGTGAGTTTGTTGTCATTTTACTGTTCATAGTTTTGATTGTCTTCTTTTTCTTAGGTAAGTCCCTCTAACATTTCATATAATAAAGGCTGGGTGATGATGAACTTCTTTAACTTGACCTTATCTGGGAAGCACTTTCTCTGTCTTTCCATTCTAAATGATAGCTTTGCTGGGTAGAATAATCTTGGATGTAGGTCCTTACCTTTCATGACTTCGAATACTTCTTTTCAGTCCCTTCTTGCCTGTAAGGTTTCCTTTGAAATATCAGCTGATAGTCTACTGGGCACTCATTTGTAGGTAA